GAGACCATCACGCCCCAGGACGCCCTCTGCTCTGAAGTGCGGGTTGTGGTCCAGGAAGCCAAATCTTTAATTTAGAACTGCTTTGAAGTATATTAAAAGAAGCTTTCTTTGAGAGAGGCTTGTGGACAGGTTAATAATATCTATCTGCCATCCCATTTCAGGATTTGTGCTTATACACAAATCACATTGTATTTAATAAACAACTAAGATATTACTACTCAAACAAGGAAATGGAGTCATATTTGGAAGAATACATGAAGGAAAATAATTGAAGGAAAGGGAAACTTGCTATAATTCAAGTGCTTGGTATTTGGTCTTAATCAGTATTAGGCTAGTAACAGTGGCGACCTTTCTAAATTTCTGTGGCATTAGTGAGGTTTTTGATGGAAAAAGATAATGTATATATCCCTGAGTTTGTTGTCATTGTGACCTACTGGGAGAGGTAGCGCTGTAATTTCAAATATAACTTCTACCTGGATATTATTTTGACTTCTTACCCACTACAGCTATTTTGTGTTATAAAACTTAGTTTTTTTGCTTTATGATTAAAATAATCTTGCTGGCATTTTTAGGCTGGTCAGCAGTTGAATGAATTGAATTCAAGTTATCAAGAAGCAATCATAAAGTGCTTGAAAGCCAGAAAGGAAGATATTGGGCGTGCACTGGTAGAAAAAATAAATGCAATTTCTTCTGCACAGCTACAGGATTTTGACTGGCAATTAAAGGTAAGATTGTCTTCATGTTTGCTGTTCATTGAATCTGTGTCATGGGAAAGTATTTCAGGACCTAAAAGGTTGCAGACACATGGTTTGTAGCAGGGTTGCTTCTTATGAAGCAAGGGTGGACTTTTATGGATGCCAGAAACCCAACTGCATGATAACAAACAGTGGAGTCACTAAAAAGGCAAACTGCAGAAAATCACTTCCTTCTCTGTGTTCTAGTATCACTGTTTCTCAGGTGTTTGTGTGTGTATATTTCTTCACTGATTGTATTTACTTTAAGTGAAATAACTTTTCAGTACAGCTGAAGGCCCAACTGAAATTGTTTTTACTTTTGTTTAATGGGGAAGAAAACCTTTACTTAGAAAAATAAAATTATGGTAATACAGGATTAGAATTCCCTGTTTTATTTGAAATCCCCCAAAACTATGCATTAATCTTTTCCTTGAAGTTTTGTTTTGAAAGAAGTTGCATTTAGATTTATTTTCCTAATGAGACCAATGTTGCCAAAAAATTGAATAAAGATCTATGGCTTCAACAGAAGGACTTCTCTGAATAAATGCCTTAAATTACCAGAAGTGTGTTATGGAAGTAACGTGGGTAGTACTGCTTTATATTTGTCCCTGCAAGCTGTTAAATAATGGGACCAGCTTTCTGTCTTTAAAAAGAGCCTTAGGTAATTTATTCAGAACAAGTATTTGGAAACTCCAGATGTTTCAGATTGGACCAAATATTAGAGGAGCAAGTAGCATCACATCTTGTTTTGCTTTATATGAGTTGCTGCTAAGTATTGATCTGTCTTGCTGACTGAATTTGCTGCTGACAAGAATATAAATCAGACCTATAAAAACATCTTTGTCTGCAGTTGTTTGTGGACTACCTGTTATGGAGGACTTTAGTACCATTTAGATTTTTAATTTTAGGGTTTATTGTAAATGGTGTAACATCTGACCTAATTACAGCTGTCCCTTTCTTCCTTTGGCTGATTTTACTTTTATCTTGCATTCTTATTTAGTTATCCATGTAATACATTAAAAAAATAGTCTGCATATTACTTTGGGAATGGCAGCTGTCTCCAAGTTATACAAGACAAGTTGCCTTCTCCGTGGCATGCATAGGATCAAGATAGGTTCTAGACCTTTTTTTTTTTTTTTCTGAGTTTGTAAAATTACATCATTTGGTAACACCCACAAGTAAATGTCATAATGCATTTGGTGCCTATTAGACAAACTGCAAAATATCTGAGCCACTCAATTCCCTTTGGTTTCCAGGAATAAAATAATTGTGTACTATACTTGGTTGTAACATTGTTTAGTATTTTACTGTTTAATACATTTTGAAAATAATTAATCATATTGGGGTGAAGAGATAGCAAAGATCACCTCTCGTCCCAATACTCACTAGTTGACTAAGTTTACTTGTATTTGTCATATGCTGTATTTTGAATATACAGTATTATACAGCTGGTTGGAAACTTCAAAAAAGTACTCATTGAACAGATATGTAAAACGTTAGAGAAGTTGATTTTAGGAGTGGATATAATTGACAGGGGAGGAGAGCTGCTACTCATTGTTTATCCTGATAATTCCTAGTCAAGGTAAATCATATATGTCTTAACAGGAAGACCCAAAACATTTAATTATCTCAGTTTTAAATTATTTTAATTCATTGCCCTGTACAGCTTGCTCTTTCCAGTGATAAGATCTCCATGCTGCAAATGCCACTTCTCAACCTTGATCTGGATGTGAGAGAAAATGGTGAAATTAAGCCAGTCTCCATAGAAATGAATAAGGAAGAGCTACAGAATCTAATAAACGCACTGGAAGCAGCTAATAAGGTGTTTATTACTGACTCTCTCTCTCTTTGTCTCATTCTTTCTCTTTTTGAATCAACTCTTTATTAATGCTCTTTGATGTCTTACCAACAACCACTAGCATAATAGCCTTCTGCTGTAGAATTAGAATGTACTTTTTTGAAGCAGATTTGTACATAGACATCTACTTATGTATAACTTCAGCTGGCTTAGTTTATCTCTGCCTTTGTTTTGTAAGAATCATCATTTCCTCTAGTGATCAAGTAAAATCTTCCTTTTGGAAATTCATTCTGGTTAACTACTGCTCATTGAGCTAGGGCCAAGTGCCTTAACCAATATGTATCTTTTTGTTTTTGGGGTAGCCATCTGGTCCAACTATAGCAGGGGCAGGCAATTATTTTGGGCTTACTGAGTTTTGACAAGCCATCGAGGACCCATGACAGGCAGCCAGGGCAGATAAAAAATTAAGAAAATTAATATTTAGGTGCCCCGTGGGCCAGATAGAATGGCCTGGCAGGCCCCATCTGGCCCATGGGCTGCAGTTTGCTCGCCCCTGAACTATAGCAACAGCTCCCACTGGGTGTAGCTCCTTGACAGGTGGAAGCAGCACCTCTTTGGACTTTCTCCACCTGCTTTTAAAGCTGAGTTATAGGAGCCACTTTTTGAGCAGCGTTCATATATTGAATTCTCACCCAAACCAAGCAAAAAGCGTTTCCTCAAATTTTAGACTACATCTGTAAAACTTCAGCCCAGGCTTTGGTAGCCTAAAGGTTCTTTATGAAGGCTGCACAGAAAGATGGGGGATAAGTGCCATCTTTCATTCTTGTTTATAGCACCAGAGTGGAGGGACTTGGTCTGGGAACGGTGTTGTAGGTGCTGTTGTATAAGACACACCAGGCGTGTCTATACAAGGCATTTACTGTGTAGTTGACTAATTAGCTACCCAGTAAACATCTTGTGTCTACCCACGCACAGCTATTAGGCTGGAGTAAATTAATTTACTCTGCAGCCATACATATATGTAGATGCTGCTTGGGAGGGCTGGGGCACGAGGGTGCTTCAGTGCAGGGGCTGCCTGCCAGCTAGCCCCACACTGAAACATCCTCATGCTCCAGCCAGTTCCTTTGCAGCACATGGAGCCAGAGGAAGCAGTTCCGGGCTGGCACGCTGACCCCAGGGTCCTCTGTCGGACAGGGCTGCTCTGACCTGGTTTCAGATGCTGCGATCCTGGGCACACATGCAGAAACATGCCTGGCAGCAATAAGCTCCGGAGCTTATTGCTGCGCATTAATAGGCATGTGTATACACATCAACCCTGTGGTCCACCAGCCTATTTTTCTGATCCTGGTCTGTCGCTCTGTAATATAAAATCAGTCTTTTAGTAACGTTCATTTAGTTGTCCAAGCCTACTGGTCAATAAGAGAATGTTGTGGGCAAGGATACGTATTTGTAGGGGCTGGGGAAGGAGGTAAAGAAGGAATGGCATGCTCCCTTATATCTCTTAAATGAAGATGCATGCAGGCACAGGTGCCATCTAGTATAATCATGAAGACTGTGTAGTGTATTGCCTAGGCATTTTGAGTCTCTCTCTTACTAATTGTGGTCTTATTTCTTCGTTCACTTGCTTTTTGAAGGTTGTTTTACAGCTGAAATGATGATTCTGATGATCAGAAGCAAGACACTGGTTCCATAAGAGACTGAAAAAGAATTAGAGATGAACTCTGCAAAATGAAAGAGTAATCATGCTGTTAAAGGACTGAGTTGAACTGGCAGTGAGATACAAGACCAGAAGAGGTCTCAGACTTGATGGAAATAGAAAAATCTAGTAACCGTTAGACCAAAAGCGTATCCACAGTTGCCTTACAGAAAATGCTGAAAGCTATGTAGACTTATGACACTATTGTAGCATTTATGAAATGGTAAGAGGCACGTTCTGTTTTGTTGAACTTTGTCAGATATTTTTGCCAATCTCCACACACTTGCTTTTGTTCAGAACAAGAATTTTTGCCTCCACAATATCTTATTACAAGGTAATATCTAAACTGCTGACATGGGAAGGATAAATACAGCAGTATCTTGTAACGTAAGTTTTACACTTGTAAATAGCAAAGCAATAAACAGTTGCTGCTTCGTATGGATAATTATGAGTGGCTTATTAATTTAAAAATCTTGATTAAACTCAGAGCCCTTCTAATGTTTTCCTAAGGGTTTAATGTGACGTTGTTAGTCTGGGAATAGATTTAGAACATACTTAAGTTGAGTCAGACTCTGTTAAACTCTGACAATTTAAAAATTTTTTAAAATGAAGTTCAAAATCTACTAAGTCCACAGTTATCTTCCATTGAATCTAGATAGGGCAAGCTATTCATGCTTATGGACCTGTACATGACTTGTGATTGTGTAAGCTTTTGAGACTTGCTTAAATAAGGAAGGGCCATAAAGAGTGAAATTATTAATGATACTTCAGCTTTACTTAAACTGGCAGAATACAAACAAAGAACTCCAGATTATGTTTAGTAATTGTTTTTATTATCAACACTTTTTTGGGGTAAGAAAGCAGAGATACAAACAGGCCAAAACCTAATTACTTATTTACAGTGCTGAAAGTAAGAAACAGCCAACACACAACTTATTTCAAACAGATAATACTAGCAAGTCAATTCTGCACACCATTTTGAGAAGACAGTTTCATCCACTTGATCGATCCATTTTTACATTTGACAAATATCAGGAATACGTAAACAACAAAACAAAAAAACCTTTACAAATGCTTAGAAGGTCTGTATTTAAAAGGGTGTATAAGTTGTCATGATAAATTTATACATAAGTATGTTTCTGAAACAAAAGTTCTTGCTGGTAACAGTTTTTACAAACTAAATTCTTAAAATATAAAGAAATCCTTCAGAACAATGGTTTTTGTCCTTTTATATTAAAATAATAGCAAAAGGCCACATGAGAATTTCAGATTCTACATTTAAACTATAAAAAAAATTGGAAAGCTGATATGTTCCTGGCTAATAAAAAATAAGTTTTTAATATGTAAGCTTTCTAAAAAAATAATGCTTTTGTTTCTAGGAATACACAGGCTAATAAATAAAGTATGTACTTATATTTTGTATTATGTTTTTGAAACTGTGAAAAAATGGTTTTATAAGTACGCTGAGGGTATGTGATATTTACTCTTCAGTATTTTTGTTTTGTGTTTGTCTTGCCATTTCACTGGAGCACTTAACAGGAAAGGCTGAAAAAATCTTACATTTATTATAAAATGAAGAGCCATACTTGCTGCTAAGATACAGTGATAATAAAAAGTAATAGCAACTTTTCTTTATTAGATTTTTATAGAGAACCTAAAAGTGCTAAGATCAACAAAGCTGATCATCTGCATACTGTAGTCATTATGCTTTGTGGATCAGAAAATAAAAGAGTGGATGGGGGAACACTGTCTGGGTAGAGTCAAGATTAGGAGACTGGAAAATAGTAGTTTTTTTGTTTTTAAAGAAAACAGTCCAAGCCTACAATCCTTAGAAAAGACCAGCCATCCATTTCTAAGGCACAGGGTTGCCCACAGTAAAATTAAATGGTTCAAAAAGGAACTAGGAGAGAGAGCACGTTGCTCTTGAGCATCAGGCAGTATGTTGGGCAATGGCATAATTCTGTCTGTGCCCTGCAGCAAAAGGGCTTAAGAAAAGACAAGCAATCACACCTGAGGGGAGGTGTGTGGAAACTGAAACTTAGAAATTCTACAAATATAATCCTGTAGAACTTTGTGTGTAGTCATGCCCCTCTAGTACTTAACATCTCATTATATATGTCTTGAAGTATGGAAGAAAGCATTATGTCTCCAAGTAGGTTCACATACAGAACAAAAACAGCCCTTCAGTACATTTTGCTGTTGCTGTGTACATTGCAAGATATGTAATGGCCAAATGGTGTGAATACCAAAGAAATAGCACAGAGAAGTGGTAAGTTACGTAATGAAATATGACGGAAAAAGATACTGCTTTTATCACCATCCAAATCACACAGGTCTGCCATGAGAGAGCAAAGTGAATCACACCAGGGACCACAAAAATCCATCCTGAATGTATAAGGCTTAAACCAATGGCGGGTGAAGAGAAGAGAGTTTGTATTCTCCTTGAAAACTGATTCTTCTCTGAGCTGTTATTTTTCTGCCGCTATCTATACAGTAGTGCTAAAATGATATTGTATGTGATGATGCAGGGGTTATGGAAGAGGCAAGGATTTCTTAGGGTGTTATCTTTTGTTGGATCAAGTGTATAGTTGGGACAGGTTTAGACAAGCTCTTACATGCAAGATGTTTATCCGGTGACCTGATGATGACTAGCTTGCCTTCAAAACTTGTCTAATTCTATCCCAGCTATGCACTTGGTCCAATAAAAGATGTAACCCTAATAAAACCACATATATAGAAACTGACCCTCTTCGATAATTTCCACATTTTTCTGCATGTTTTCAGGCCTTGTGGGATTTTTTTTTTATTTAGCTACTTATACGACTCCTATTAATATGGTATTTTCACACCATACATATAATTCCAACAGTTGATCTACTCCTTTTGCCTCTTACTGTCTCATATGTGTAACTCTTTCTTTTAAAAAAATTCACATTCTTTGACTATTTATTTGTATATGTGGATTTCACCTTGGAAATCCACATGTACGTTGGAAGTGAAATCCACATGAATAAAACATTTCAAAAGATTACAGATCCTGAGCTATGCAGGGTTCCTCCTTGGCTAAACTCACTTAATTTTACATGTGATTCCATGTTGTTTTGGCTAGCTCATGAGTATTTATGCAGTTTGGTACGATGCGACTCTCAGAACTGACTTAGCCAGAATTTCCATTGAAGTCAGTGGGAATTTTGCCAGAAAGAAGTGAACGTGGTTTGGTCCATCGCAGCTTTGTTGAGTCGCTATGTAAGTCACAGTATTAAGGGCTCTATAGAAATGTTCACGTATCAAAATGTATTTCAGGAAAATATCTCAAGTGAAATATTAACAAAAACCTTTGTGGCAGCAAAATGTTCTAAATGTAACGTGCAGACCTCTTAAATGTATAATAAAGAAACTGATGTAACTAAAATATTTGAACAAAAACGCCTAACAAAAAGGGTACAGATAATGCACGCACTGTATGAAATTTTGTTTTCAACATATAAAAAGCATCTACAGAAATTCACATTACATTGACACATTGCAGTTTGAATCACAAAATGTAGCATATCTTAATACAAAGTAGAAAAGGTCATTACAAAAATAATTAGTCTACCTGTTCTCACTTGGCATTTGTTAAGCATATTTTTTCTGTTTTGTTGAAATCTCAAGATTTCAGGAAGGAAAAAAAAATAGTCATTGTTTTCTTAGGCCTTGATCTTTCCCCTTTAAAGTGGATGGGAGTAGGAGCAAACCCACAAGAAATACATCTAGAAATGATTACTGCAGTAAAACTGCTTTTGTAATGTAGTGACTATGTTTAAAAATATCACAGTTTTTATGAGTCTGTAATTAAAATATAAAGTTCTGTTGTAAGCCTTTTGGGCAACACCCCAACTTGAAATGCTCTCAATTCTGCTTTCATATACAAATGTGTTTTGTTAATTTTTTCTTGGTATAGAACTGTACAAAGGTATTGAAATTACAACTAAAGAATCAATGATGGGATTTTTTACTTCATTGGGTCCTGGAAGAGTACTTGGGTGTGTACAAACCAAGCTAGCAAAACTTTTGATTCATATAAATCTTATTTAAATAGTTCAGTCTTTATTCTTTTAAAGGACCCTTTACGTCACCCTAGAAGGTATGATTTGCACCCGTCCCAAGACCTCTTTATGCTATCAAGACTGATTAAAGGGGCCATATTGAGAGTAAGAATCAGTCTTTGTGTTCCTTGCTTTTAAGTCTATGTTATTGAAGGTCCTACTCTTGCAATGGTCTTTGGCAAGACAGACTACTGCGCTTCTGCAGAGTGCATTGTATGTTAGGGTGGTTTGTAAGACAAAATACGTGATGTTCAATACTTTATGTGTTTGCCTTCAGATGTTTATATGCACAACTTTCAAAGTTTATTTATGGTCATGTATTTTTTACTCAAAACATCCCACAGTTGCACAGCTGTTACCAACAAATTTATCTTAGTGTGTTCGCAGTGGAAGGAGCTTCAGAGGAGGCAAAGTGGTGTTTACCATCATAAAAATCAGAGGATCTGAGTAATACTAAAGGCCTTCTGGAGCTTTGTCTTTTTGGTGATTCTTACAAGTGCAAACTGACATTGGCAGCAGTATTGGAAAAAGAAGCACTGGAAAAAAATTCCTAGTGGAAATAGATCTTAGAAAGGTCACTGTGGGCACATCTGCGTGAGACATTTTACTGTGGAGTTGCCTAATTAGCTCCACAGTAGAGTCTCAGGTTCTACACATGGCTACAGTAAACTACTAAACGGTGCTGTAGGTTAGTATGTGTAAACATAAGTGTACAGCTAGTGCAGCAGCATTATTTAGTGTGCTGCAGTGCACATGTAGATGCTGACAGGCCTGGCTGGGGCACGAGGGTGCTTTAGTGCAGGGGCTGCCTACCGGTTAGTCCTGCACTAGAGCACCCTTTTGCCCCAGCCAGCTCCGCAGCATGTTGAGTCAGATTGGAGCAGCCTCAGGCTGGCAGGCAGACCCCCCCCGGCTCCCACTACTAGCTGGGGCTGCCCCAACCTGGCTTAACGTGGTCCTGGGCACACATGTAAAAACAGTACCCAGGAGCAATAAACTGGTGTGAACTGTGCTGGAATTTATTCAATCGCATTCATAGCATGTGTAAATGCACCCTGTATGAATCAAATGCCTGATCTGCTACGTTACTATAAGTGATAAGATATTTTCTCTGCTTGTTGGAAACTTCACTGTCTAGTTACCAATGACCATTCAAGTCAATGACATTTATTCTGCTGATTTCAACTGGAACAGTAGCAAGCCTTAAACTGACTAAGAAAACAGCAAAAGTAGTTTCAGTGTGGGCTCTATCCTACATTCTTTGCATACCCCATTCAGGCCCGTGCCTAATAACAATGGTTAATCACTACTTCCTAAAGCCACCACCTCTCAGCACTACATTTTAGTTTAGATGCTG